GATTTTGTTATTTTTAGTGCAACATTTTAGTATTTTGTAAGTTTTATGTAATATTTTATGATTTTGTAATTTTTTATGCAATATTTTAGTATTTTTTATTCTGTATTGTAACATTTTAGGAGGCGGATCTAATTGCATTGAGGAGCATTTTGGTTTTACAAAATACATGGATTTCAATGTGGGGAGAGCACTGGAATAAGTTAGAAAAATATTCAGTATTTTGTAAAAAATAGCATTTAGAAAACCTATGAAAGGGTCATGTTCTCTTTGAAAGATATCCCTCAGGGTTGACTTTTAAGATCAGTCTAGATATAAATCAATGTAATTCATGTATTGATTGAGTTGCTCTAAATGATTTATAATGAAACTTTTAGTTGTTTTTTCATATATAGGATCATGTTACAAGTTACCTATAGATTTATGAGGACAATCCATCATACTTTTATGAAGTGGTTCTTTACAATGAGATCAAAACGTTAAGACAAGTGCATCTGACAGCACTTTTACTTTATGGATATTTAACATGAACATGCAAGCAGATCTGATATTTTAACCACATTTCAGTTCCAATTTAGAGTACTAGATGTTCTAGCTAATTTTTCAATAAATACCAGTTGATGCTGGAATATAAGTTGAGAAATGGGAAAAATGGATTCAACAATAAAGCTTTAGGCATGACATTGATATTAAGTAGACGTTTTGCCTCACCCTGTAGCAGTAAAGAATTTGTTATCCAAAGATCATGAAAATAATATTTATAGCTTTTAAAGCAATTGAATAATGATTTATAGACTAATTGGTAACAAGATGCTAAGCTAGAAGCAAGCAGGTAAATGTAATGCATAAATGTTATCTTCAACGAATTTACAACTTAGCATTCAAATATACTGTACTTCTACTTAATTTGGCGGCCATTTTAATTTGGTGGATCTATCAAATTGTTGAAATCCGTCAAAGTCCCCGCCTAATTCAATATTTCATATTTCAATCGTAAAGATGATCATATCAGGGTTCTCATCAAGAAATATTTAAGGTGTGGTGGAAACATCTTCAGCATAACTGTTCAATCTTGATAAATCATATTTATGTCATATTCTATCCTTTTTATATGTTATTACAGTCAAGTTTAGACTGTAGGAACAATCATGATTTGCCTATAGGTTGTGGTGGGAGCTAAATAGAGTGTGATGCTGCGCCAAAGTCTAAAAGCCTAGCGAGAGCCCCGCATATTGCAAGTTCACCAATTAAGTGGCTGTCTGTTCAAAACAGCAAATCTGCCAAAATAAGTAGCCCCAAATTAATTAGAAGTACAGTACATACTACACTAGCTTATCGATTAACTGAATATAATTGTCCCAGAGGGAAATGATCCAGTAAGAAAAGTCCCAATGAGAAATGTCAGGAATATCATTGAGAAGAAACGTCTCATTGAGTAACGAAACCCTGAGAAATGTCCCAGTAGGAAATACCCCAAAGAGATAAGTAAGGAAAAAGTTTCACATATCATATTCTCTAAAGTGCACATTACCCATGGAGCACCATGTTCAGAAAAATTTTCAATTAACTTCCCACCAAACAAGATTTTGTATTAGCTAAGTTAAAAATAAAATAGCTAACATTAAATATCCCAAAGACAAATCACTAACAATGTAATTTTTTATAGTACATGTACTTGAATCTGCAATAAGTCAACATTTTTAGAAGTTTAACAAGAAAAACTGTTTGAAGCACATCGGTCAACAACAGAAAAATAAAAAGGTCAATCAATATAACAAAATTGAAAGTATTCATATAGAAATTAACATTACGAAATACTAGCAGTATTTTAAAATACATTGTAAAAGTATTGCAAATCCTGCATCAATTTTATACTTGAACTTAAACATGGAAATCATGTTTGTTATGTCAGATAATTCAGTATCACAATGCTAATCCATCTTTTTATATCATTTCTTGTTTCTTGACTAACAAATATGGTACCAAATGTAAACATCTCGAGCTATAATAAATATGTTTAGCTCGATCTGCCCTAGAAGTAAATGTTCTTTCCCAAACATGTTCTCAACAAGTTTATTTCATCTAACAAACTAAAAGTTATTAGAAACTGTAGATTGTGAAGAAAAGATAGTCGTTGGCAATTGAAATTATTCCAGGAAAACACATTTATTTATTTACATCTTCACGCGGTACTAACTCACCTGGGCGTATCGAAACCAAAACGCCCCGCAAAATCATTAATTTGAATTTTAAACCTACCCTTTCTTTGGAAAATCAATGATTGTGAGTCTCACAGTACACCGTTTTTCTTCAAACTTGTTCCATTAAAACCTTCACAGAAATACCTTTCACTCGGTACATTGTTTTTGTGTACAGAGTCGCTCGTTTTAGTGGCGTTTTGGTCCCCAGATGTGAGAAGATGCAAATCTTCAGAGATTTCAACCAAAAGCCTCGATATATCGCCAGTTCTTTCAATATTCTCCCCTATATTTTGCACAAGGACTCCCATTACAACCCTCCATCTCTGCATCAACATATTTTTTACATTAAACGCAGCAAATTCCAAAAGTCCTATGCATCTGTTCGAAATTGATCAAAACGCCCCGTTCTCTTCCAAAACGCCCCGTTGGATCTATACACCTTGAAACTACACGTTTGTAGTCATAGACTCTGCGGGGCGTTTTGGAAGACAACGGGGCGTTTTGGTCAATTTCGAACAGTTGCGTAGGACTTTTCAGAATTGCTGCGTTTCATGTAATAAACATGTTGATGCAGCGATGGAGGCTTGTAATGGGAGTCCTTGCGCAGAATATGGGGGAGAGTGATAGAAGAACTGGCGAGATATCAAGGATTGTGGTTGAAATCTCTGAGGATTTGCAACTTCTCACACCTGGTGACGAAAACGCCGCTAAAACGAGGGACTTTGTAAACAAAAGCAATGTCTCGACTGAAAGGTATTTCTGTGAAGGTTTTAATGGAACAAGTTTGAAGAAAAACGGTGTAGTGTGAGACTCACAATCATTAATTTTCCAAAGACAGGGTAGATTTGAAATTCAAATTAACGGTTTTGCGGGGCGTTTTGGTTTCGATACGCCCCAGTGAGTTAGTACCGCGTGATCTTATAATATCTCAATGTTCTATAAAATGTTATATAATATGCCAATGTAGATCTACTAATAATGAGTAGGCCAAGGAAAGACTGAAATTTATTCACTATAAGCCTTAACTGAGGGAGTTAAATATATTAATTTGTGGCTTACTTTGCTTCTCTCTTGGAGGTACTATTTATAAGGTGTAAAATATTAATTTAGTAAAATCTAGCAAAAATGAGAAATACTTTGTTACAAATCCTGTTTTCAGAAATGCATCTTTGGCTGGCTGATTGGCTTTAAGGATAAGTAAAGCCTACAAAGGCACACTTGCTGCCACACAGGACAGAGGAAGTAGGGATGTATCCATTAAGCGTAATGTACCATCATCATTGCTATCATTTCCGATAAAGTGGCAATTAATAAATAAATATTTCTTCCAGTTGGAGGAAAACATTGTTTGTTTTTTAATATTCATATCTGCGGGAGAACAGTGGCAAGTTGGTGAGTATTTCCTGATGATTGTTCATGCTCAGCTCATAGGTCAAGGGAAAAGCTTCTATATTTAGCTAAATACTGATATTCCCTTAGCCTATGGTGCAACTCTTAACATGTGAGCTTATGTCATCATATCCTGCAATTTGATCAGATGGACTATCAACTGATGTGCAATAAGTGCTCACGAATAATTAATCAGTTGCAAGTTATGGCATCTCTTTATGGGAACTACTCGGGGCTCCCCAAGGGATATGTGACAAGGAGACCTGGCCTCTAAAAATGTGACTTTGGGGTATTTAAAAACAAACTAATGCGACAAATAAATGCTTGCAAGTGATAATTTGGGACATAGATCTGACTGACAAAGGTTTCAAAACTGACAAAATAGACAATTCTTTCTGAATGTAAACAGATGCAAGTAAAAGTGACCTATTAATCAGTTATTCAACGATGGAACATAACAGACCCTTTCTTGCATTAAATGCTTTGACTGACTAGAGTCCATTTCACTGGTTCATTTCGTCAGTAGAACGGCAAAAATAAGAAATTGGGAGACCATTGTGCAATAATATATGGAAAGGTATATTCATAATGTACATGAATGACATTTGTTTATCTTGGATTGCTTCTAGTTTGGCTTATAAAGTGTGTGGCCTCTTATATTTGGATGTTTCTCTGCCATGTTATTTTCAATAAGATTAACATGGCTGAAATTCTTCAAATTACAAGACGGCACAGGCTTATTGCACAAAAAACTAAAAAATCTGAAATAAACAAATGTCATTCATGTACATTATGAATATACTTTTCCATATATTATTGCACAATGGTCTCCCAATTTCTTATTTTTGCCGTTCTACTGACGAAATGAACCAGTGAAATGGACTTTAAAAAGGAATAAATCTGACAGAATATACCAAGTAAATTTTAAATGTGACAAAAGACAATTTTGGAATTATAAAAGTGACTGATGCGACCTCACAGCGCCGGAGCCCACTAATCACTTCTTCTATGTGTACATGTAATAGAGGACACAGGGGGATTCTCGGGGGCATTCCCGGACAAACCCTTGGTATCAGGTGAAAATCATTGATCATACGATGCGTCTAATTTGAAGTTTCAATAAAGAAACCATATAAAATAAAGAATTATTGAAGATCGTAAATGCCCCATGTCCAAGATTACCCCTACGTCCCCTATAGACAGTTTTTCCATTAGATGGCGCTTCATGTCACTGTGGGAAATCCAGGTAGCCTACACAGTATAGAGCTCAACATTTGGTTTGACTACTGAATGCATTGGTCGAGAGATAGTGCATGTCGATAATGTGTAGCTTCTTCGTTGCATTCAGAAATTGGAATGAACATGGTAGAAAATTATTTCCAAAAAGCTGAAAATCGATCTGCAAAAATTTACCTTGCAAGAAAAATCGTAAAAATCTCCCGATCCCGGTGATCTAGGAGCATTCTGCATGTAGCCATTCTTCTTAGTAACTGGACTGATCGGAATCGGAGTTCTTTCTTTCCCCATTTAGATTGTAGTTAAGCCATAATCAGTGAAAACCCGGAACAAATTTTGTAAACACTAGATTTTGTTTTCAATATGGCGGTAAATTTGATGACGTCACGGATGCAACAGGTTTTACAGGGTGATCCAAAATCTAAGTCGAAATTAAAATTCGTCTAAAACGTTCATAGCAATATATTAACACATGAAACAGTCTTGATTATTGAACCAAAAGGTGACATTCATGCATATTGTTCATAAAAAATATTCTATTCATCCCTCTAGTTGAATGCCCATGGTACGACGAGCAAATATCAATGAAACCCCATGAAGTTCAGCAGGCTTAGATTGGAAAGAAGGCCCATTCAGTGTAATCTGATAGATGATGATGTTTCAGACTTTAAATATTTATTTTAGTATTTTATCATTAGAAAAATGATAATATCGATAATTTTGTGATCTCAGGACCCAAGAAATCACTCCACGGCATGCAAGCAGTCTTTCTCAGCAGACCTGCACCCATTTATAAGAGAGCATTTAAAAATGGATATCAGAAAAAGCACTCGACATTTTGGATGATGAAAGCAAGGGCCATTTAAAATTCCCCAGATTAATATTCCAAATTCTAATTCTTTGGCTGGATCAATAACACGGGTCTCTTGAAAGCCAATGGGATAACAGCCGTCAAATCTCAGCACTTCCGTGACTCACCGTAAATCCAATACCAACTGTTGCAGAGAAAGATCCTGTCTGAAACTTCCCCTGGTCAAACTGTACCAACAGTGACGTTTTGCCGACTCCACTGTCGCCTACCAATATCGTCTGCAAAATAATTTATGTAATTTCAAGACTAGGGACGAACTCTCTTTCTCACGGGGGCAAAGCAGACCCGATGATGCAATGAGCTTGCTCGGCGGTATCATGACGGATTTTAATGTATAAGTGTGCTCGGCGGTAGGTTCAAACAACGCGGATCCTCAAAACATGTGCTCATGGTATATTCGTGTTTTAACACCCGTGTTTCTTGTGACCATGGGCTTTCAGAAATTTGTCTCGGGTATCTTTTTTCATTTTTTCAAAGTTGCGTAATTTGTTTTGTCGCAAATTCTACACATTTTGTGATCTCAGCTCATTTTCCGACCTGATTGTAGGCTGATACCCCGAGTATTAATATCTACACGCAATCGGTCAACGTTCCAGCATATATTTCAATCCCTGAGTACGGTGGAAACTTCAATGACAGTTGTAACTCATCCCATCAAATGAGCTCAGATAAAAAAGAAATGGCTAAATCATGTTTCAGGTGAAAACCTGTTGAGTATCAGACTGGTCCATAGCCCACGATTCTGGGTGTATTGATTGGAACGGAGTGAATGAAAACAGCTTATCAAACCGTGTTTGATAATTTTGGTTTTATTTTCCCTGTCGATGTCATCCTCCTGAAGCCATGTGATCGGAGGATGGTCGATGTGGGCGCAGCGTATTATTTTGTTTTAACTTGAAATATCGTGGCTAGTTCTTTTTCCATCAGTGAATGCGGCTCTTTGATTTTCCATCAGTGAATGCGGCTCTTTGAGTCAGGGAAACAATGCGACATTGGTGAGAACCATATGTAATGAGAACAGTACGCCACAAAAACGAACGAACTGAACCCATCATTCCGGAACGGACGGGGTTACCTTCACCGGTGATACTCCAACTAGGATTTATTATTGTGAAACCATATGGAGATAACTGAACAATCAATGCATTACATGTCATCAAGGTATAATCCATACTAGTTTACTACTATGCCATTGGGACTAGACTATCATAAAAATTAATATTTAATGATGATTATTGAAAAAGTCGGAGTTTGTACAAAATAATTCCCATGCCATTCATACTATTGTATAAAGACTATGCATTGAAAATGTTAAAGGGAATATGATGAGCTCATCTGAATCCCGATCAGAATGTTATCAAGTTATCTTAAAACGATGATTATCATTCACATGGCAGGATTTGCCAAAGGGGTTCTCTTTTTTGGTCCAAAATGGCCAAAATCACTGAAAAAGTCCTCAGAATGATGGAAGCCTGCATGATTTTGAAAGAAATATTGACCAGGGGGGGGGTCGCTGGAACCTATCGACTCCCCCCCCCCTGGCTACGGGTCTGTATGGCATGAAATTGATTGATTTGTTGTGGCCCAACGGGCATTATGAATTAGTCCACGCTTATCTGTGGTTAACTGCGATGTGATAAAGCATTAACAAATAATTATGAACACAGTAACAGTGTTCGATTCTCACAGATCTACCATTCAGATACTCAGACCATCTCTGGCAATGCACAAGGTTCTAGACTGAAGGAAACTGAGAGAAGGCTGTGATATCTCACGATGCAGATCTACTGGATCTGTGAAACATACTGACTTAAATCGTCTATAACAATTGTTTTTTAGTCTCCTGGTCAGTAGATGTCCCGGATCAATTTTATACTGATAAGCCTCAATATTATTCAAAAGTGAGTTTTGGCGCCTTTATTTTTAATATTGAGATATGATTTCCCAAAGGCATTGTAAGATATTACGTTTATTACTTAGCAATAAACATGTCGGTAATCGAGCCATTGAGTTAAGCAAGAAAGAATGAGAAGAGATCACGATCTCATTTTGACAAACCATTTTCGTCGATTATTTTGTCATTGAAGCAACTATATTTAGAATTATTTGCGATGAAGCAATTATGAAAATTTGTATTGAAGCAATTTTTCAATCATATTTACAGCATCATGATAAGCCATTGCATCTCATTTCTTCTCACTCTGGTGAATCAGAAATATGTCATGCGTATCCGAATGAGTTGAAAGTCCTACCATTTTCTTTTAATTTCTTCCTCTTTCTTTCATTGTCAAATTTCAGATTGGATTGTGTAAGGTAATTGTGTATTGTAGTCAAGGTATATAAAATTCCAAGAATTCCACATATATTATTTGTGGAATTGAAATCCTAGACAATGTGGAAAAACTAAGATCATTTTGTGCTTTTTTCTTCAATTGTTGATCATAAATGATATGATATGAGTCGATCGATGACATCACCTCTCGTGTGATATAACATGTATGTTGAAATGGCAGCGAGGTTGAAAAATAGTTTTTCATCTATAGTTTCTCACATATGTTTTGTCACCACCACAAGTGGTCACATATTATAGGCTGCAACTTTTTATGGATGATGTTCGGCGTTCGGTGGTAAGTGTTGGTGTTTGACGTCTGTAACAAATGGCAGGTGGTGACATTTTGCATGTTAACACCTTGTTTATAATTAGTGATAAAAACATAACATGGCAGCAACAAGGTAATAAGAAATTCCCCTTGGACGCCTTTACCAGAAGAGAGTGTACGAAAACTGTGTCAGAGATTTAATTTGGCCCTAAGTTTATAACGTTTGCGCTCGAAATTGACTAATCGTATGTCATTTTGTGTTCCCGGAAAATGCTATCGAATAGAAAAGCTACAAGCCTCTGTGACCCCCCCCCCACACTTCACACCTCCCCAACCCTTGTCCAGTAAAGTAGATAGGGGAGGCCCACAGTCTTGAAGCAAGATTAGATCAACTAATTATCAAACTTACCTTATGGACGCTCCCACCGGGTGAATCAAACGCTGCGTCATTATCTGCAGCTCCATTGCCTAAAGGTTGGATGCTACCATCTTCTCCTTCATTATCCATGGGTGCTTTATCCCTATCAGCTTCCACACTAGTGAGCTCAAAGTCAAACCTCATCAGTAGTTAATCATTGATGGGTGACCATAAATGAGTGTTTGATCAATTAATATCCGATGTAAATGATCTGAAATATGCCTCAGATTCTAGATGTCTTTTATAGTATATGTACACAAATCCTGAGGTTATATTGCTGACGTAACAGATCTGGCATCTGTGTTGACATAAAGCATCGAGCCAAAGCTATCTGAAGATTAGTTTGCAATTGTCATTTCCATTTACTCTCATTATGTTATTATATTCAGATGGCTAAATTCTCCCTAATGTTTCTATTAGGCAGCGCTGTCTGTGGCTTTTAGAGTAAAGTTGACAGTAATATCCGATGCTGATTTGTTTATGGAAGTATAGCACCACTGTACGTGGATTACACAAAACTCAATTTCATATCGCTAATTGGCAATTCCGTCATTTATGTTTTCCATTCGCCGTATGATTCTAATCTACGGAATTTATTTATCAGGAAATCTATGTGATAAATGAAACATGAATTTGCTCCTGGTTTAATTGATTGGATTAAGGTAGAGGTGTCAAATCAAATATACCATGCAGAATCCCACCGTCTATCGACGCATTACTGTCAGAATCGGAATCATCTCCTGTGATATGACATGTCCAGCATCATTTCCGAATTCAAACACAATCATATTTTCTTAATTTATAAAATCAAAGCGACCCTCATGAAACAACTGTAATTGATTAATAAATGTGCATCTAGTACCAGCAAACGTCAACAGGTTTAACGATGTCGGCATTTGCACAGCGATCATCAGGGGCATGTATATCAACCAGCTTAAGTGCTTGGATCGGCCCCTTAATTCCAGAGCTGCCGTGGATCGAGTTTGGTGACTTCTATATCGGAAACGATATGTAGCGTGAGGTAAGCCCAATAAGCGAAGCTACGAATATCAGAATCCCTTCCAAAAATAATACACACCCATCACGCAATCCAATGTCATGTCACGTCACGTCACGTTAAACTCCCGATTGTATGAAAGTTAAGTCTTCCCAAGATGGCATTCGAACGTGTGTCGTTTCCTATAAATGGGTGATCCATTTGTCATGTACGAACATAACTGTCATATAATATATGTAAGAAATTGTGCATATTTAGCTTTACATGTCTCTCAGAGGACTGGAATAGAATCGATAACCTCTTAAACCCTGTTGAATCAGAATTCTTCCGCTTACAGCACACAAACGATACAGCTACAGTACAAGCCAAAACTAACCATATTGAATTAACAAACACCAAGCAAGGCTACAGTACAAGTAGAACCAACATGGGAGACACAAAAATCCATATGTAATGATATTTTTTCAGATTATATAATATAATATGT